AGTGGTCCACTGACAGCTTCGAGTTCCATTCGTAAGACGGTTTCTCTGGGTGAAACTGAGCGTCGTTAACGACCACATGAATGACATCACAAGATTGTTAACTTTAAAATCACCTGAACAGCCCATACCCCATCGAATTCGTTTCGACCCTCCACAACAGCGATGAACTCCCTGTCAACCTCAGTACTCGTGGACGTAGCCAAGACTTTGAAGTTCTTCTCGGCTTCGGGGAAACTAGCAGTGCATAGATGGAAAAAGGGCCGCGTTAGAACTATGATCCTCTACCACCCACCTTGAGAGTTGATCGACCCAAACACCCCAATCGTGATGATTGTACGTCATGTCCCCAGCGGAAGTAGCCTGTACGGCCTGATAGAAACACCCATCACACAACGCCTGATACAACAGTACTAACCTGGGCAGCACCTCTATCCTTCACTAACGCCGACTCCACACCGCTTCTCCAATTCAGTCGCAATGATACCTTTAACGAGCGATACAACATTACAGCTGAATCTTAGTGCTCACATCATCAGCACCAGGTGTGTGCTCCAAAATCGAGTCGTTGCCAGCGGCTGAGATGAGGGAGACATTCTCATACCCACTGTTGCAGTCATGGCCTCACCTATTTGCATCAGACGTTCGAATCCAAGGCAACTCCCCCAGATGGGCAATCCTTTGAGCTCATCTGTTGCTCTGGCCTCAACGATCCATTTTGTCGGATTGTTCCACTCCGCTCCTTGATCTCCTCCGCCAGTAAATAACACACCTGGAGGTCAAGAGTAGTAATCCAGCTGAGGATCCAACAACCGAGGCTCACCGGAAACCATCTTGAGCAACCTCATGATATGCTCGCGCGTCTCGTAATGAGGGATAGGCACAACCTGATCGCACACCGCCGCAGAGGCCAACAGTACGAATCACAGACGCAACTGCAATGCATACTCCCCCACCTGAGCTCCTGCGGCCTCCAGCCACTTGACGTAGCTCGCAGCGATGTAACCACCGCCACCAGAGATGCAACGATCCCCACAAGGTAAAGTCAGAACACCAACGAGAGGACGTCTGATAGAAGTTGAAAATAGTAAGGATATAGGTTCCTCAAAAATGCGAAGTAACAAATAAGGTGCCGAGATGGCTCACCTAACTTCGGACCAGCATCTGACTGGTTCGACTTGGGGACTCAGATGGCATCCTCGATCATGCTCAGAGCATACACACCTGAATCGGTTGAGCATGAACATGTCCAGGTAAGATCCA